TGTTAATGGCGTACATTGGTCACTCATAGAGCTGACACGTCCAGCAGCATAAGTGTAAGAGCGTAGTATTGCCACTAGTGAAATATTCTATTAAATGCCTTACTATGTCTTCTTGAGAAAGTATTTGCATACTTTCGAATCGCTATAGAGGCTATGAGTGTTTCAAGTGACATGTGCAAATAATATGGATAGCTGCGAATTTTAGGGTACACAGGAAGGGTGCCAACAGAGTTACTTTTTTTTCTATCCCCAGTGCTCACCAGAGTAGCATGCCTTACTATATTATTATGCTGCTGCTGTTGTTTTCCTTGTAAGCTCAAGAAGAAAAAATATTTTCATCTTTTTCTAGAGAATATCATTCTTATTCTGATACATTCTGACTAAGGATTATGGCTTGGTATTCATATGGAAAAAGCATTAGCATCCTCAAAAAAATATAATAATGACAGTAGGAAGTCTGGAATCACTTGAGAAATAAAATGCATAATAAAGCGAAAAGCTATTGTGTGAAAACAATGGCTAAGCTAAAACAAAAGCTTTCCAGTTGTTCTACTGAAGTTTTTGGAGTAAAAGTTTAGATCGGAAGTTGTCATAACTTCCTCTCCGCTTCTCTACTATTCAAGTTTGCATAACACTCAGATATTCTTCCTTTTCTATCTTGCAAAAGAATGGAGCAAATTAATTTTTTTTTGCCCTTCTTTCATTAATCAAGACAGGATAGGACTACTGTGCTCTGTAATTCTCTCTGAAAAAGCACGGAGAAAATAGTGCAAATACTACGATCATGACTGTGACTTTTCCCTTACTTACGCATGCTCCTTCACTTTATTGTTGGCAACTCTTAATAGCTTGAAGGGTCCTCGTCACGTATGCTAATAAGAGGGACCATCTTGAAAGACAGCTATGCATATATGATCGCTCATTCGCATATATCAATAAGACTCCATTCAAATCAAAATTGCTTATGCATGGTTGTGTAGGTTATAGAAAGAACACAAATTTTCGCACAGACAACTTTCAAAATTCAATCAACTTCAAATGTATGCACAATACTTCAAGAGCAAATATTGAGCCTTTTCAAGCACGCGAAGCGCAATCGACATTGTAAGTATGCAAATGAATGCATTAGAGTTTGCTTTAATGGAAAAAAATTTGAAGGGTATGCTTACCGGTTGACAATAAACGAAACAGAGGTGGTATCTAAGGTGGTTTGTCCTTGTCATTGCAGTTAAAGGAATTCGCAATACATAATTACAAAGAAAAGTTCTTTTGATTTTTTTTCTAACATCGTGCATGGTATTCTTTGAAATATGATTACTTTTTTCGACTAAAAATGGCTCGATAGATGAATCAGTATGCAGTTGCTTAGTTACAATATACAGCCTACAAAAAGTTCTCACGATTAATTTTACACTGCATGCTCGCTTAACGGTTGTAGATACTTCGCGAAGAAAAGAAAATAGTTAAAGAAACAAGAGCATTGGCGGACGACCGTTGTGTTCACATGTATATATGTTAACGGAGAAAATGTGTGTAGGCGTACGAAAGAATAAGAGGAGAGATTACAAGTAAAAGAAAAAAGAACGCATCACACATGGCGTTCGCTCTCGCGTTTGCTATTAGTTCACATCCATTCATTTTCTGTCTCTCTCATCTACTCGCTATAAGTTCACTACTATAGGTCATAAAAAGTTCGAGGACTAACCTTTTTAACAAGGGACAAAATGTCTTATCGTTTTCTTTCTCATTTCTTATCTTACTCTTATTTCTTATCCACGCTGCTATCTTCTTTTACACTCACTTTATACATTAGCACACTGCGATAAAGTAACTACGAAGTTTTTCTTATGTTAGTCGATTATGTAAGGTAAGCTCGTTTTTCTTTACATTGGCTTAGCTTACCGAAAGTCATACTCACGGCTTACATGCGTTTTTGCCTTCTTTAATTTTACTTTTTCTGACGTCATGATTTATCTAATGACTTTTCTTTATTTACCATTTGATCAATTCTTTTTTCCTTGTCAACATATGTACGCTTTCACAAAGATTACTCGATTACATTACCACAGTCACGTAGAAGTCTCCTACAAATATATGCTTTGCATTAGTAAATTAGCTCATACGGCACATAAATTTAAATTAGACTGAAAAGTGCGTCATACGACAAAGCAATTGAATTAAAAGACAAGAGGTAAGTTTAAAACATTTATATGATAGTATTAACTAGCTGTGTGAATGTTCACCTAATAAAAGAACTGACTTCAGAACTTGCTCTAGTTTCTCGAAATCCAGTTGACAATAGGCTGTGTGAAACCATTTTTTGCTACAGCTAGGAATCATATTTTCCGAACACAGTCGATAGATTTCGCTGCAAAAAAATGCAGAACAATAAAACCTAGCACTGTGTTTATTACCCTCATAAACTCATACGCGGTTGTAAAGATAACAAACGTTGCAAGCGATTATGAAAACAAACAGTAAGCCATTGAAGGGTTTATTATTTTTATGACCATGCAATGGTTTATGAAAGCAATATGTATAATAAATCTTTGAAGAGTTTAATTAAAATGTCATGCATACTGTAATGGTTGGTGAAAGTTCGCTGCAGGGTTTATTTGACTAATAAACTCTTTTGCAGAGCCTATCGTTCTATGCCTTCTACAGCGATGTAACAAATTGAGATAAGGCTCGAAGTCTATTGAGCTAACCAACCTGCACTGCTTGCACCTTGGAAGAGATATTCTATCAACCAAAACTTGCTAGTATCGAATGAAAAAAGTCTTAGCTTAGCAAACAGGCTCTGCTTTCCGATTTGAATTGAAGAGTATGCGAAAAAAACACTGAGTTGAGTGTATGGAATTCAAGGGGAGAAAGCGAACACTACCTACTCCAACCATACTTTGCCATATTTCATAAGTATATCAAAGTTATCCTCGAGAGCCTGTTAGCTATTTCAAGCCTACTATCAACGTGTGTCACGAACATATTAGTTTGAATTCATTTTTTTTTATAAAAGTCTATCTGGCACTAAGCCGAAATACTTTATCGCACTTCAAAATTTGAGTATCAATGAGTTACAATGAAGTATTTGGGCTTTATTACCATCAAAATTTATATAATAATCATTCAAGCACATATGCTTATAACGTCCTTCGATAGTAGACTTGAAATAGCTAAAAAGCTCTAGAGGATAGCTTTGACAAGTCCTAGGTATACACTGGCGCAAAAAAATATTTCGTTTTTCCCTTTTAATGAAATCTATTCAATACTGTACAAATTGTGGATTCGTTTGCGTGAAATCTCACTGTTTACGTTGCATAACGGGATACTCCCTGCTTATTCTTGATGAGTAATATTCTACCGCCTACTTGCTGTTTTGATAGATTGTTTTATTTCTGGTGATGTATATTTGACTTGTCGTCTGTTGTCGTTCCCATCATTCTTCAGGAACTATGCAGTGTTGATTAGTTTCTCGCTTATCTCGTCCCTCCTCATGTTTAGATTATCTCTCTTTCTACACTCGCTATGTTCTTTTATCCTCGTTTTCTCTTCTTCGCTTCATAGATAAGGCGACGGTTGGTATAAAATAACATGGTATTAAATGATTAGGTTGAAATCGTTACACGTAAGTCACTGATTGTTCTCTTCAAAGTATATTGTAGAAATCCTCATAAATATGACTTGAGTTATCGTTAAGACACTTGAGATGATCTTCAACTAATAAAGAATCTATTAAACTTAGTAAAATGAAAATAGAACTCTGTAGAACGATTTCAGATCTTGATATTTGATAATCTGCTTGTGTTTCTGACACTGAGCTAAACGATATCAAACTACAATATTCTTTCTCTGTGTCTGCAATAGAACGCTTTTTTCGATTATAGGCTGTAAAAGATTGCCGGCGAAGCCGAAAGAAAAAGAAAGCAAGATGCATTCTATGTTACTAAACCTAATTATTGTTCTGTTTATCATGTGTAAGCTTAAGTGTATCTTTCTAAGCATATCCAGAATTCCATGAGTATTGATCAACTCCGTTTATTTCGCCTATAGCATTCGTAATCTATTTTATATGATACGTGTTTTTTCTTTGTAACAAATACAAGAATCATTGATAAGCTGAATGCTTTAGGCTTTGTAATAGCGTCGCTAGTGGTAAGCCATAAAATAACAATGTGTTCCTAGTAGCGACCTCTTTTGCAAAAAAAAAAACAATATTTTTCCTTTTTTTTTCAATTTTATTCAATAGGAATAACTTTTGTAATGAATGAGAATACGAGTGCTAAAAAAGAATTTAAAACCTTGTTCATCTTGTATCTGTTTAGACATAGGCTGAATTTTTGTTCTTTGTTCGTATTCATCAGTTATAGCATGTGTTAGAAAAAGTACATTCTATATGACACAGCTTTAAGTGCTTTTTTTCTTCTATTCTCTCTACTTGTTTACCAATTCAAAGAAACGAACTGAAGAGAAGTGTTTGTTTGCATACTTAGCTTAACCCAATAGTCTTTTGTTCGTTTATCTACCATATATTTTTCTTTCCTATTTGTCCTTTTTTTTGCCCGTTACTATTTCTATCTATACGATTGATAGGTTCTTTGCGGTAGGCTAGCTTTCGCTCTTATTTCTTGCTTTCTTTCTCATAAAGGCTTTATCGTCGTACGACTATTTCTTTTCTTTTCTTTTATTTTCGTATCGTGTAGGATAAAAAAAAGACGTTCACTTCTCTATTTTAAATGCATAAAATACATGCGTCGTTTTCGTATTGTCAGCTCACATGTATAATATACAATAGCTATTTATTTGTTTCGATACACGTCGCTAGTAGCGTATTATATAATAATAAATTATATTTATTTGTTTTCTAGATTATTATTTCTTCCATGTTAAAACGATTAGTGTTTATACGATTTATTATATAATTTTCTTCAATGATCAGGTATTTATTTAGAGTATATTGATGTTATTTACCAATAGGACTCTTCTTATTAGCATATTAAAAAATGATCAAACATGAACAGTCAAGAAATATTAATCAATCTATAAGAACTGTACCAGGTGCACCTCTTGTATCATTCCCACCAGCACCACAACCACCACCACAACCTTCTATGTTTCAAACAACATCAGGAGTATTATCTCAACGACTAATTGATCCCAATGCAATTGATATAACGTCGTTGAAAGGACAATTCGCATGGGAAAAATTACCACAAAGTGATGCTTACATGCCTGTGATTTTTCGGTATGTAAATAAGAAATAGATACTTTTTAGAGTTTAACTCTAGTACTACCAACTTGGATCCTCTTTTACCTGTGCTCAAAAATTTGAAAATACGCTCGAAATATTTTATGTCTTGATTTTTGGAAGTAACTAGCATCTCTTACGAATTGATATATATTGTTGAATCTAAAAAGAAACTCATTTGTTTTCTATATCACTACAAGTCTTTGATATGATATCATGACCTCATTACTAAATAAATATAAAACAAGAAAGAGAGGCAAGTCACATATTTATTTCACAACTGAATGAATCATCTACTGTCCTAATTGAATAGCTCAAAACTACTTCAAAAAAATGTTTTCTAATGGATCGGAAAGATCCAGTTGGAATAGTAAATGAGTAATTGGATTATGAATTGAAAATTTAACTTATTCTCCTTGTTATATGTTTTGTTGCATACTGAAGACATGATATCGTACCGAAGGCTTGCAATGGTATAGGAAACCAATGAATTTCTTTTTAGCTTCAACAACATATACCAATTCGTAAGAGATGCTAGTTACTTCCAAAAAACAGGAAATAAAAAAATATTTTGAGCATATTTTCAAATTTTTGAGTACGGATCAAAAATTACCCAGGTTGGTTATACTAGGATTAAAATTACTTGTAATAGAAAACAATAATTAGTATTTTCATCTTACTATTTAAAGCTTTGTACGATAAAATATGATATGTATAAATTGAACAAATTCAGAAAAACAAAATAAATATGAATTTATTTATTCTTTAATAAAAATTTGCAAATAATAAAGAAAATTCTTTGTTAGCCTTCAATATGAATTATAAGTAAAAATGATACATCCGTCTAATTCTATTACTTCCATATATGCCAGTCTTTTAAATCTATGCTTCATTATTTATCTTAATAATGAAGTGACAATAATTCGACTAATGTTTACTTAATGATGAAGTTTATTTTTTTTTCCTACCTACGTATTGGGCTAATAAAAGATTACGATGACAGATGCAACAAAGTGGATAATCTGTCAAATTTAATTTTGAAATGCACTCATATAGTGTTGAATAGGAAATTTGAGTAATTTGTTTTCATTTATAAGTAATACTATTAGTAACACAATAATTTTCTATAGTTTACACAGTATGACATTGAATAAGATTAGGAAAGTTTATCATAATTATCTGTATGGAAACTTATATATACAATGCTTTGATAATCATGACAGAATATCTTGATCAAATATTGTTAATAATGAGATCTTTTTCAATATACCTTCTAATATAGAATAAGATAGATTTATTACAATATAAAACTAATATTTTTTTTTTAATTTTCAGTGGTGATACGAAATATTTTTGTGTTCGAATGCTTCGTAAAATATTACCTGATTATCCTGAAGATATTATTCGTCGTTCATATCAATATCAATATAGAAAAGCTATTGATTTACTTGCTGTAACTGCATCTGAAGTTGAACTATTAAATAGAATTAATAGTCAACATTCACGTTGGACATATTCTCGGCAACCATTTAATGCACTCGATGAATTAGTTCGTGTTTCGGATTTTCTTCCATTTTATGATCATCTTCGTTATAATCATAAATCGGCTTCTGTTATATCAAGTACTGCAGCCCATGCATTACGTCAATTATTACCACAAACACAACAAACCATACAAAGATCGTCCGATTATATGCCTACGATGCCAATAATTATACGTGGACAATCAACTATACCACAAGAAACACCCATTCAGATACAGTCATTTCGTCCATCAACAGACGTTTCTCGTGAAAGTATTTCAACAACTTCAAGACCTATAGCACCAACACTTAATGTACCACGTCCTTCAAGACCATCAAAATCGATTGGAAATCCTTATGCTGTTGTATTACCTATACGACCATCGCAATATCCAACTTTTCAACAGCAGCAATCAATAGTATCCTTGCCAAGTAATACTACAAACTCCACAAGTGCAGGTACATAATCAATTGAAAATAAATTACCATTATTCGAATCATTCATAGTATCATAATAAAGAATATAAATAGGATATTCGTATCTTGCGTAATCGAGTGCCCTTCACAACAGAGCTGGACATGGACGAATACGTACTAGTCCTTCAAAATGTTCGTACTCGAACTCAAATAACCCGTATTAGGTTAACTTGATGCAAAGTTTTTGAGCTCTACATATATCCTAGCCAAAAAGAGCAAGTATATATCACAATGTAGTCAGTAGACTATCGAATGGGTAACAAGATCGAATGACTAGAATACTAATTCGAAAATTGACTTCTATTAGCCTATGTATATGTGAGGAGCATATTCGTGCACATACAAGAAATTCGTACTCTAATTTTATAGATTATCATACTATTCTTTGAATATGAGAGTGAACTTGAAGGGAATAGAGCAGTTGTATTTGCTCGCTACAGAATTGAACTTTGTTCACATTCATTGTACCATAAACTTCAGTTTTTTAGTTACAACTATCAAGATCTATGTTGATACAGAAGTAAATGATTGAATAATTTTATGAAACATGATCACTAAAAATTACGGAAGTTCGTGTCGTTAAAGTATTTTGTCTATCTGATATCGAAAATAAAATTATCAAAATATATATAGTTTCATGAGAGTTCTAATGTAAGATGTGAGTAAAAATCAGACAAGTAATGATTTATGTGATTTCAATATTTTTCTTTGCGGTCAAAGTAGAGTCAATCATAAAAAAGTTAAATTTTGCTTGATTTGTACTACACAAATAGATATGTCTATTACGTAATAAATAAAACATGTTGAAAGGTTTTATGTAATAGTACTTTAAAAGACAATAAAAAAAAAGAGAACAAAAAATTTTAGACACTCAGACATTATGATGAATAGTTAGATAATTCATTCGATTTTTTTAAATAATAATTTAGTGCCTATCAACAATATTCAAACTGTTCCAAGTCTGACTCCCGTATCATTAGCATCATCAACGGGTGGTTCTTCGTCTTCCTCATCTCCAACTATACCATCATCGACTATTGACACTCCTTCTTTATCATCTTCTGTTGTACAATCATCTACAATTAAAACAAATCGTAAATCATCTCTGTCATCAACATCATCATTATCATCATCATCATCATCAGCATCAATAACAACAACAACTTTATCATCAAAACCATCTCCTCTTCATTCTGGTTGGTTACAAATAAATAAACTTTATACACCATATGTGTCATCAAGTGCAACAAATCATCATCTATATAAAATACCTGTTAACCTTTTAACATTTTATGATCTACTTAAAAATACAAAAACTGAAACAATTGATTCAAAAGATTCTTCATCATCCTATATACAAACACTTGTTACATCACAAGAAATTGAATTAATTAATGATCTTTGTATAAAACAAAATATAAAACCATTTGCTGTTGATACAAAACTTATACAATTATCAACATTTTATGAATATTGTTCAGCAAATATACTATTTGTTAAAGAATTACCAATGACTGATCCAAAAGCATCAATTTGTAAAGAATGGTCATCGATAGTACAAATCAATGGTGGAATTTGTCGCTTACGTAATATAACAACATTACATGAACAAACTGTACCATTTATTGGAAATAATTTATTAAAAAATTTTATTCTATCATCACAATGTTTATCAACAGCATCATTATCAAAACCAACAGCTGCTGAACTTGAATTTCTTCAATTGATACTATTTTTTAGTAATATATCAATTAATTTATGCAATGCACAATTAGTTGATATTGAATCTGTGCAAAAAGAATATAATGTAGATTTGATACTTTTATTCAATGATAAATTTCCATTGAACGTACTTAATTATCAACAACAAGGTAAAAGAACTTTTTCTTTTTTATTTTAAAGGGTTTTATTTTTATATTATATTCAGGTAACCGATCAAGTGCAACAGAAGGATCCATTACATCCACAAATTCAACAGCAACAACAAACACGGTAAATTAAAACTACGGAATGCTTTTAATTGTTTTTCGAATCATTCGGAAAAGAAAAAGTTATTATCGATTTGCGTCTTGTATTTATATGAAGTATCAATATTTTCGATATTATTTTTAAACTTGAAACTATCGTCTTAACAGTTTTGAAAATTTTCATAAACAATGCCATAATTAGAAAGATTTGTTAACACAAGCTATGAAACAATTCATTATCATGATATTAGAAACGAATACATACTCTGGCATGGTTAGGATCAGTGTTTTTGATATCAAACTAAGACTGAAATCTCCCTGTTCAAACCATAAGTGAAGCAATTCTTTACTTGAGATATGGAGCACAACGATAGTTTGAAAATATTCTAGAGCAACCCAAACTAAGAAGTACAGATGTGGACTGCACTCTTGATCTGAAAAACCTGTATCCTTACCCTGGGAAACCTCTATTCTTGTCCAACGGTGCCTTGGCAAACCCGCCTTTGCCCTACTCTATTCAGCAAAGTCTCTACTATTTCATTAGCTAACCTCAGGAAACCTTTACCCTTATCCCAGAAAATCTTTACTCTGAAACACTTCTAATCGTGTCCTACACGTCGCTAATAAGAAACTAAGTTTGGAAAATTTGCTCTCTGGAATATTTCGTACTACTATCCGTTTCAAAATAAAAGAGACTTTAAGGTTATCCGAATAACTTTCGATAGGTACAAGATAGAGAGCTGCAGTTTTCGCCATTTGAAAGAGGAATGTTGGGGCTACATTCCTCTGCTAAAATTTGATCGGCTTATAATTAACCAATGGGACGAATTCTCTATGTACATTTTTCAAACGATATTCTGAAGGCATTTCTGATTTGATTTTGGATTCTGACATGACCATTCGATAGGAAAAACGGCTCTCTTTCGATCTACGCAAAGCCCATCACTCCAACTCATTTCGTTCAGGAGTTATGAGAGTTTTCCTGAGGCCCATGATTTTGGCTAATTCAACTGAAATCGTCCAGAAAAAGATCTTGGTAGGGGTAATTCATCACGCTGAGTCTCGCGGTGGTATTTGTTTTTGGATTCGAAATAGGTTAACACTACTACGGTGCATTAATCAGAGTCCAGCTTACTAAAGGCAACCCCATCCTAAAGCCCAAATACTTCATGATATTTCCAATTTGGAAGTATCATGAAGTATTTGGGCTTTTGTGTCAGATAGACTTACGTAGACTGGACTCCGGTTAATACATCGTAGCACCGATCAATAGTAGACTTGAAATAGCTAAAGAGATTTGATGCACAGTTACAACATAATCTGGAAGTACGGCATTTTCGCTCCTTCTGTCTTGCCCACGGCGCTAGATGGCACCACAATGTGAAATTATAGAAATATGTAGTTTACAGTGTTAACCTATTTCGAATCCAAAAACAAATACCACTGCGAGACTCAGCGTGATGAATTACCCCTACCAAGATCCTTTTCTCGTCGATTTCAGTTGAATTAGCCGAAATCAGGGATCTCAGAAAAACTCTCATAACTTCTGAACGAAATGAGTTGGAGTGTTGGGCTTTGCGTAGATCGAAAGAGAGCCATTTTTCCTATCGAATGGTCATGTCAGAATCCAAAATCGAATCAGAAACGCCTTCAGAATATCGTTTGAAAAATGTACATAGAGAATTCGGCCCATTGGTTAATCATAAGCCGTTCAAATTTTAGCAGAGGAATGTAGCCCCGACATTTCTCTTTCTAATGGTGAAAACCGCAGCTCTCTGTCTTGTTCCTATCGAAAGTTATTCAAATAACCGTAAAGTCTCTTTTATTTTGAAACGGATAGTAGTTGATTTTAACACACTTCGGAAATCGATCAGAATTTTACCAAAAATGAATGTTAATAAAGTAATGCTTACGCATATTGCGACATTTGATTCTGCAAGATTCCGATTATATAGGTCTATTGATAAGAAACGCAAATCGATAATTGCTTTTGCTTAAAAATTATTCAAAAAGTAACTCAATGCATCTGATATATGTTGAAATGATCATTAAAATGAATTTATATGTTTGATTATAGATTGCTGAATCAACACCTCCTCCATCGCCACCATCTCCTGCAACTAATCAACCACAATCAAATAGTACATCACAATTACCATTAACATCCTCTACTAATCGTTTTCATAAAACAGTTCAATTTCATGGTCATCCAATAACAGCATATATATGTTCTGGTCTTGGATCAAATTCTCAACGTGAATGTGTTTCAATAAAATCTTTATGTAATATTCTTTATCCAAATTCTACATCAATAGATAAACTTGAAGCAAAAATGCTTCGTTTATTACGAGCAAAAAATATCAATCGATTTCGACCACAAAATCAACAATCAATAGGTTTTACACGTTTAATTGATATAAAAGATGCTGAAAAACATTGGAATTATATTGAACAAGAAATGCATTCAACATTTACTGGTAAATAGAAATAAACTAAAATAATTATTTATTATTTTTCATTTTTAATAGATAATGAAGAAGTTCATCGTCGAACAAGTATTTCATCTGTATCAAATGATAATTTAAAGGCAAGTACAGTGGAGAGAGTAGATAATGATGAACAACCATCATTGGAAACTTGTGTGGAAACAAATAAAGGTGAAAAACGATCATTGGAGGAAGCATTAGATGAAGAAGATATACCAATATCGGAACGAATTAGTAAACGTGTACGATTTGCAGACAAAGAAAATGATGAACGAATATCTGAAATATCTGAGAATCAAATACAACAATTGCAAAATGATAAAACAATAGATGATGATGATGATGATCAATTAACTGATAAAAAAGAAGCTCAACAATCAACTTCAACAAAAGATAATAAAAAACGAAAATTACCTTCAAATCGAACAAATAAAAAATCAAAAGCAGCATGGGTCAGAAAATATGATATTGAAGATTTTTGCCTTCAATTGAATCCATATGATCCAATGTTTGATATACAAAGAGATTAATTGTTTGTCTTTAATTTTTCTTTTTTCCTTGATTGTTTTTTTCTTTCTCTTTGTGGATAGTTAGTGTCTACGGAGTAGATATAAAACGTTATGGAAAATCAATCAAGGTATTCTTAGCATTTTTTTTTCTTGTGTATATTTCATAATGTAGGCTGTCTTTGTTCTTTTCTCTTGTTCTCTTAAAATTTGAAAGAAAACTTACTACGCAAGTGTGATTCTTATTCTTGTTCTTCATCGATTTCGTTTCTCTACATTTGTACATGCATATTGAGACAAACAAAAAAAACAAAAAGCTCGTCAATCTTGTTTCTGATCTGTTTGTTGTTGATATTTTTCTTTTCTCCTTTTTTTTTGTTATTGTTCTTTTTCTTCCTACTTTTGTTATTTACTTTTCGTGCGATTAGTGAAATACTGGTTTCAACAAAAAAGAATACAGGATTAACATGATGAGTGATTTTTAACTTGAATACTGTCTATTTCTTCGTATGAAAATGTCATATACTGATTTATAACGATATGTACCTGAATGTAATTCGATATATTGGTAGTTGGATTGGAACATTTCTATTACGAACAATAGAATTGGATCGTTATGAAATGATTTTTGGTATGGAAACAAATACCAGAGATTGAATCATGGATCATTCATCTATTAAAAAATAGTATTTTGGTCTATCAATTAATGGTCTAGACTAAAATGGACTTCTCTAAATTATGATCCAGAGAATAATGTGATAAACAACTAGTTTTCTGATTTAAATCATCTGCCATTTATAAATGAATATCTTGATGTCTTATATTATTGTATGGTAGTCTTGCCAGAAGGCTTACAGAACAAAAAACAATTATTTGTCATCCATCTTCCGGAAAATTTTATTTACCCTTGGTATTTCAAGCTTGAACCACATCGGAATTGGTTCTAAAGAATTCTATCAGTAGGATGAATATTATCCCAGAATTATTCCGATTATGACGAGATGGATTAAGAAATTTTCCTATTTATCAACAAAATGGCAGGATATATGGATAGTTATTGGTCTATAGTATGTGGGACTATCAATATCTAGAGTAAGAATGTAAGTTACATACCATCGATTATAAGTAAAACATATCCTAGAGAGCGCAAAAAACATCATTATCACTAGAATTAATATCAGATGTAAGACAATACTTTTGTTTAAATAATGAGAATACTGATCTTTTACAATTGAATGCCATATGATTTTACTTATTTGAGTTTTTTGCACATTTATGATTGACTTTGTTTTGTACAGTTTATATTGTAATAATAAACGATGTACCGAGAAATCTCTATCGGAATTTTAATTTCATGTTTCATTTGCAGTTCAATTTGACTGCAATCGAGAATAAAATAATGCTTGATAACAAAATCTTAAACACCCAAAAAATATCAACTATGACTTAATCATTGAATTCATTTAGTTCATTGTCTTTATGCTATGATCTGTTAAACAAAAGTTTTCGAAAAATAGATTGAGACATATTTTTTTTAAAGAGGATCCTATTTTTCATACTATACAAGCCACGAGAGATTCAAAAATCATTGCGAAAAAGTATCTATTAGTTATAATAAGCTAAAAGTCTTGAAAAGTTGGAAATTCAGTCGTTTCAATTCACAGTGCTAGGTTTAAAATTTATTATATCGATTACTACTACAATGAATTAACACAACTGATTCTTTCATAAATTCTTTGAAACAATCAGGATTGAGACTGTTGATAACTTTTTGATAGAAAAATCATTAGGTCTGCATTAAGATTCCTCTCTTTCATTCGAAAGATAATCGTGCAGAAATTTTAAGAAAGTTATTGTGCAAAACAAGACGAGCGAAAGGCTAATAATCAGAAACAAATGAAAATATTAGAAGCATCTTCTATACTAAACTCTCCTGTCAAAGAAGATTTCACTTAATTTATATCTCGAAGACTTAGAACTTCAATTGATACATACACAGCAAGATATTAATTTTCTTAAATACTTTCAGCTGAAAACTTAGAAAGACTTAGGTTAACGTTATTTCTGGATATTCGAAATCTTAAAAATCTTTGCTTTGATCCTTAAAATCGCTTTGACTTTCTAAAAATTCTTTTTTTTTTAATTAAAAATGATGAAAATAATTGAGATACAATAGAAAAATTCCGGGTCTTATATTATGCTCTATTTTATATCATTTGATCTTGATAATGTTTCAAATCGCTTTAACATATTCGAAGAAGTATTTTCATCATTTTGATTCAAATATTCGCTCATTGATCCATCGTAGGTGATATAGTTGAAAACAAAAATGATTGATGATATTTCTTAGTAAAAGAAAAATGCTTCATACTTGTTTACATTCATTTTGAATGTGCTCGGTCAGAAGCTATTTCGATTCGATCGATTACATTCATCAAAATATCATGACCATAGCAAAAGCAAGTAAGTTGAAATCGAAACTTAAGTGATTTTGACTGAAAATCAGCAAAAACGGAAACGAATTCAACGAACTACTAAAGCGCTAGATCATAGTAAGAAAATATTTACTATTTGAGGGAAAAAAATAGTCTATGATGATGTAGTTCCAAAGCGGTTAAACGAGAAGAAATCTTTATTGATCAGATAAAAACAACGGATGTCATTCTTCTGAAAGCTAATAATTTTATTCAGTTTTGCTTCAATGAAACAAACTATATCGTTCATATTGAAACGCATAAAAATCGAACTAGAATGTTGATTATCTTTGGTATATGTGCATTCAAGAAACAAATTAATTGAAAAATTATATATACTTCAACTTGTAAATATTATTTTCTTTTTATGCATGGATAAAAACCAATAAAAATCATCAAATCTACTGCTGAATTCAAAATATGTTAAGATTGGAAACATATTCGTTAGAATTTGAAATAAAACATCAAATCAGTAACATTTATTAAAAAACAATCGGCTGTTTTCGCATGCTATGATTCATAGCAACAAACAGTGCATATAATACGAATCACGAGAATGACTCATTCGTATAGTTCCAATGCATCAAAGTAGTGATTCAAAGAATGTTCATTATATAAGGCAAAACTGAAAAATGTCAATGCAATAGCTTGTTTGAGTAAACAAAAACTTTCCTCCATCTGTCGCATTTATTATCAAAACAATAAATAACAAATGAAAAATATTGATGACTCCACCAAATGACATACATACACAGCTGTGCAACCTATTAACGAACACAAAAAATAGCTTAATCCCCAAAATGATTAGTAGAACATTATTTATACGAGATGTAGAAACGCTTTATAATTATCATTGCTAGCTAGTTGACCTTCGTGCTAGCTTAATAAAAAACAACATATGGTTACGGAAATAGTTTTCTCCATTGACTAATATTAAACTTCAACTTTATCATATTGTCGAATTGTCTGACACCGGATGCAACGCTTGACAGATAGTGACGGACATCTGTTTTCAATAAACTCTTTTTTTTTCTCCACAAGCCCCATATTGTTGCCAAAGTAGATAGCAGCAGTGCTTTCTTAAAAGATTTTGAAAGTTTATAGGTTAACATTGATGTTGACTTAAACATAAACGATATTCGAGATTAATTCAATGATGTGTTTGGACGATACTAATGTTTGTCACAAATTATAAATATGTAAGCATAGCGACATCTAGAAAACCTAGCACCATTCCTGAAGATTATATTCGATTCTAGTCGAATGAAATGAAAAAACACAATGATATCATAGGTCTCTTCGGCTAACTAGTGTATGATAGAAGTGCATCGAATAGATTGAAAATCTATTTCAACAGAGTGAAATACACATGTGTCGTCTAGTATTCATCTTCTATTGAGGCTCGGTTGGGCTTTCCATGAGCTGTTCGGATTTGAACCCATGATCAAATATTTCAGAGAAATCTATCATATTTTATCGGCTGAATACCTACTTGATTTCACTCATACTGTATTAATAAAAGATAAAAAAGGCCCTGTCCATTGGTTGCAACCTGCTCATCGCCAAGTCTGGATAACTTTTGAAAATTTGTTAGACAAAGATAAGACTATAGGCTCGAATAAATACTTTCTAGTGGTAAATATGTTTAAAAGCGTTAACTTGTGTACTCGATTATTTCATCGAATACTTGACATTTCCAGACACTTGACACCATCAAAACATTCTGCAGCAAATGTTTGCTGCAATTGAAAACCTAATTGTCAGATCTTGACGTCAAGTTTTATTAATTTTTATTTTATAAAGATTTCATTGAGAGGCTTATTTTTTCATAGATTTCTAAGATAAAAAAATCCAAAATCTTGATGATACCAAAAGACAAATAGATATGTTCATATTATATTATGTAAGACGAAAATATATCCATAGTGGCTGCTTTCCAAAGGAACATCGAAAGAAAAGTAATCTTATTATTCAGTAACTTTGAAAACTTAATTCGAAATTATGATTTAACTTCATTTCTTTATAAATCTCAACATATACTTAACATCTTAGTTTTCTTAAATTTTGCTCATATGACATTTTAAATCTAAAAAATATGGAGAAAATATATCCTGATCAGGATGTGGGCAAGAGTTTGTCAAAGTGATCTGGAACCTGGTAGCAGAGATGGAACCGGTCTAGTTTTTTTCAGACCGGTACCGGTACCGGTCCAAAACAATAAGGCCGAACCGGACCGGCCGGTCTACCGATTTTACCGGTAAAACCAGTCTAGACCGATTCGTCGACCGAAACAGATTTATCAAAAAAAGTTGATCTGACCGGTCTACCGGGCAAAACTAGTCTACCGGTACTAAACAGGATGCTGATGATACGTCAGTTTATAAAAGAAAACCGACCTACCGACAAAATATCGTTCGTTAGACAACAGGCTAAGGCTTGAAATGAAGCCTTGTTTCATAGTGAACTCTCTTGAGGGCTATCTTCGTGCTTTCATGCACACTGACATAATGTTTTCCCGTTGATAACAATAGTCTCACTGATGGGTATTTT